GCTGCAGAAGGTCAAGGACTGTGGTCTTCAATAGGAATTGAAGCTCAACATCAAGAAGACAAAGATTCTCACCACTGGGCCGACCGGCAGCACCACGATAGGTGAAGAAGAGATCAAGGTTGTGAACAATTCCAGCTTGCTCGGCTTCGCAGTCAGCACTCCTGGCACCAGCAGTCAGGAAATCGAAACATGAATTGCACTGGGAAAATCTTCTGCCAGGGACCTCTCCAGAGTGCTGAAATGCAACAATATCAGACTAAGGTGTGCCTAATCCAGGCCGTGGTCTTTGCAGTTACTTGCTATGCATCAGAGAGCTGGACGATGACTAAGGATGACAGAAGAATCATCTATGTCTTCGAACTGTGGTGCTGGAAAAGTGCCTTGAACATACCATTGACCGCCAAGAAAACAAATAGGTCTGTCTTGTGTCTTGGAGAGGGTGAAGCCAAGTTTCTCCTTGGAGGCAAGGATTTTGAAGGATTTCTCATACATTGGGCACGTGGCCAGGAGGGCCCAGTCCTTGAAGAAGAACATCATGCTCAGAAGGGTGGAGGGACAGTGCGGGAGAGAAAGACCCCAGAGGAGATGGACCTGATAAAGTAACTAGGGCAATGGGGGCTGGTGTGTCGGACTCAGTGAGACTGGCTCAGGACAGGGCTGACTTCAGAGCTATTCCAGGCAACTCTATGGCACATAACAACAACAGTGGCTGTTGTGAGATCTGGTGGCCTGGTGACAAGCATTTGTACTGCAATCCCAAAGACATGTGGTTCAAATCCATAAGCTGCTCAGAGAAGGCTGGGCAGTCTCCTCCCGTGCAAATAACTGCCTCTGAGAACCCGCTGGAGGGTCAGCTATGGGTCAGTTCCAATACAACAGCTTACAACAACAACAACAACAACAACAACAACAATGGCTATTGAAGGGGAGCTCTGGTGGCCTAGTGCATAACTCACTGGTCTGCTAACCAGAAGGTCTGTAGTTTGAATCTAGCAGCCACTCCTTGGGAGAAAGATGGGGCTTCTTCCCCATAAACACTTACCCCCCAGACACCCTCCAGAGAGTCACATTGCGGGGGAATCAACTTGACAGCAGTGATTTGAGTAATGACTGTGGACAGGAGCCCCAGTGGCCTGTGTTAAATGCTCAGCTGTTAACATAAAGGTTAGTGGTTCGGCAGGAACTTGGAGTGGGTCACAGAGGCCTGGTGACCCACTCCTGTGGCCACTGTGGACTAGGACACCCCGCAGAGCCAGCTACTCCGTTCCGTGGGGCCTGTGAGCTGGAGCAGATGCCCCTCCCACAGCAGCACCGTGGCTGATGGCATCCAGCATCTCCCGTGTTGCTGGCTCTTTGCCCATCATTTGGTACTTGTCTGGTCAAGTCCTCAGCCTAGTTTTCATTTGAGTTATGTTGCTGTATTGTTGTTGAGTTGTAGGCGTTCTTTTTTATATTTTAAATACCAAACTCTCATCAGATGTATTGTTGTTAGGTGTCTTAGAACAAGTGATTGAGGAGACCATGGCTTGGATCAGGTGCACCTTAGTCTTTCAGGTGATAAGAGGTCAGGTGTGCTGGAGACAGTGAGGTTGGCTCAGGACAGGGCAGGGTCCAGAGCCGTTGTTCATAGAGTCACTATGAGTCAGTCAGCTCGCCAGCCCCTGATTACGAGAGGCAGGGCAGCAGGTGGACAGTGGGCTCTCCATGGTGCTTCAGGCCTCTGTCCACTGCTGACCAAGCGTGGACCATGTACATGCACTGGCCACATGTTTAGAGCCTAGCACTGCACCTCCCTTGAAGCCAGACCCAGTTGGGCCAGCTGGAAGGATTGAATGAGAAACCCGTGTGCTGTCGGTCCCTGGGTCACTCTTAGCGATCAAGGCCACTTGGGATGTGGGACGGCGAGCTACTTAGGGTCCAGGGGTCAGCACAGATCCTGTATTAGGGACCACTCCTGGAATGAGGGGTGCTCGCACACAGGCCTGCCCCTCTGTGTACGGGACCCTCTGTCCTGTCCCAAGGGTGTCCTGCGTGGTGGCCGTGCTTCCAGCCTGGTCCTTGCATCTGAGCCAAGTCAGTATGCCTCTGGGTGCCGCGGCCATGCTGGACCTTTCGCTCCTGGCCCTGGCTCCTGTGACCGGCGGGGCTGTGTCCTCAGAAGCTTGGGCAGTTTTGCCTCTGGATGGCCTGGTGGGCTGTTTGCTGACCGCATCTGCCATGCACACAGCTGGACAGTGGTGGCAGCAGACTGGAGCCCCGCTGTTACCCACCAGCGCCCGCTGTCTGCCTCAGAGCCGTGGCCACTCAGGGCTGCTGCCGACTGTTAACTGCATTATTCTGGTCATCTTGGAAACTCTTTTTCTCTTGCTTTGCCTCCATTTCAGGGAAATTGGTACATGATGTGCTATTAAAAATTAATATTTTGAAATGCCCTGGAGCCATCCTCGACCGCCTGGCTCCTCTCACACCGCAGCCTCTCCAGCCTCCCGGGTCTGTCTGTCCCCCGTCCTCCTGCTCCAGCCTGGCCCACGTTCCCTTCTTTTCTCCTTTCCGAGGGGGTCCTCTCAGCACTGGCCTCCTGTGTGTCCCTCCAGGCTCGTCCCTCCAGGCTCGTCCCTCCAGGCTCGTCCCTCAGCATGCCTCCCCTGCCCCAGCCCCCTGCCAGCCGCCCCAGGTGTGGAACCACGCTGGGCCCTCTGGTCCTCAGTGCCTTGGCGCTGCCCCTGCTCTGCCCGCCCGATGGCCCCCCAGTGAGCAGGCTCAGGCATCGGGGCTCACGGCCTGCGTCCCAGGGAGGTGGTGGTCAGCTCTGGAGCGTGTGGACGTGAGTGATCGTGTCCAAAGCCCATGGCACATGCACGTAGGCAGGCGCCTGTGACCACTGTTCCCCCAGCCTGCCCTGCAACCAGCACAGAGTGTGGCCACAGCTGGTGCCAGTGACCAGGAGGGAGGCAGCGCTTTCACACTCGGGAGCTCTCCTGCTGGAGCCTGTTCAGCCCCAGGGAAGAGCTCGCAGGTGGCGAGTGCCAGCGACGTGCCATCTCGTCCACTTGTTGCCAGGTTACTAAGCCCTTCAGAGCCGTGGCCTTCAGGATTCAGTGCCACCAGGTGCACCTGCCACCTGGGTGTGTCTCAGTGTCCTCACCTGGGGGGCTGCTGGGGCCCACAGGGGCTTGTCTCTCAGGGTCCTCACCTGGGGGGCTGATGGAGGTGTGGCCCTCTTAGCATCCTTACCTGGAGGGGGAGCTGATGGGGCTTTGTCTCTCAGTGTCCTCACCTGGGCAGTGTTGGGGGGCTGATGGAAGGATGTCTCTCTCAGCGTCCTCACCTGGGGGGGCTGGTGTGGGGCGCTCCTCAGACCCTTTCTTCCTGCTGCTCTGGCACCAGTGACTCCACCTCTGGTTTAGGAAGGGCATTAGAGGGGCACCGGGCTGGACAGAGGCATCTCTGGCCGCTCGGCAGGAGGGTCACAGTGACGTTCTGCGGTGAACCATCTAAGCAGAAGCGCTGAGCACGCCGTCCGCCGTCCTGGGCTTGCACCGTGGCCGCTGTGACACGTGCCCACACGGTGCCACCAGCCCTCCTCGTTGTTGTGACTCACTCGGTTACTCCAAGTAGCTGTGCTGGGATTTGAACCCAGACCTGCTGCTGCTCTGAGCAAAGGCTGGGATCCTTCCCTGCGTGGCTGTCACTCCTGGCTGCCTATGAATCGGAGTGGAGGAGATCACATCCGGGCCTCCCCCTGGGTGGACACGGGAGCAGTGTACAGGGTGGCAGATGGGCTGAAGGACAAGTCTCTGAGCAGAGGTGCTGCTGAGGGCAGTGGGCAGCTGGCATGTCGGGGTGTGAGGCAGGTGGGGGGTATGATAACCCTGGACACCTGGCGCTGCCGTGGGTGTCACGTGGTGTTTGCACACTGACAGTCACAGTGGAAACAATAGAAGCCCTGCCCAGGGAGCCTGGGCAAACACAGCCACAGACCCACGGCCACAGGACCCACGGTCCTGGGACCCACGGCCACAGACCCACGGTCACAGGACCCACGGTCACAGGACCCACGGTCACAGACCCACGGTCACAGGACCCACGGCCACGGACCCATGGTCACAGGACCCACGGTCACAGAGCCACGGTCACAGACCCACGGCCACAGGACCCACGGTCACAGAGCCACGGCCACAGGACCCACGGTCACAGACCCACGGTCACAGGACCCACGGTCACAGAGCCACGGTCACAGACCCACGGCCACAGGACCCACTGTCACAGACCCACGGCCACATACCCATGGTCACAGGATCCACAGTCACAGACCCACGGTCACAGGACCAGACTGTTTGTGCCAGACGGTCCAATGATGCCGGAGAGCAGGATGCCCTCTCAGCTTCTGGCCTGTTCTCTGGACAGTGGCCTTGCCCTCTCCATCTGCCCGTCCTTCTGTCCTTGGGGAGTGGGCGGGAAGGGCCGTCACTGTCACAGCAGCAGTCAGAGGAGCTGTCTGTGCTTGCAGCTGGGGCTAGAAGACTCCCAGGGGAGGCTCCGATTGGCTAGGCCTGGTCACCTGCCCACCTGTGGATGGAGGGAGGGGAAGGACACCTCCTCATCCCCCCACAGAAAGGAGGTGTGCCTTTACCAGCATGGGTGCCTGGAGGACAGGCTGCTGAGCAGACAAAACCCCAAGTGTCCCCCATCTGTCCTTTATGTATGCGGCAGGCCTGGGGCCCCCAACCTTGAGAAGCAAGCCCAGAGCCGGTGTGGGACCTGTCCACAGGCACAGGCCGCAGGCGGCTGAGCCTGAACCCATGCAGGTTAAGACCCCAGCGCCGCACTGTTGGTTCCCAGTGGGGCTGGGACTCAAACCCTGGTTCCCAGCCCGCCACCGGGGCCAGTCCATAAGCACTGATACTGGTGGTGGAGGAGGAGTGGGTGGGTATGAGGTCCTGCTCCCTGCACCCCGTGAGGTGCTGTCTAACCATTGGGGCTGGTGTGTGTGTGCACAGGAAACTACACCCTGACCAGCGTGCTGCCCGCCGCACCCGACATGACGCAGTTCAAGCAGGGCATGCGGTCCGTGGCCGGCAAGCTCTCCGTCCTGGCCAACGGCGTCATGACCTCCATCCAGGTGAGTGAGACCCGGACACCCACCTGGGCAGGGCCAGGGGCCGAAGGTGAAGTGGGGGTCTCAGAATTTTAAGAGTGAGATGGGCCCACTCTGAAGCGGCTGGGAAAGCCCATTTTGTGCTGCCTCTCGTCACGTTTGCTCCGGTGTAACCCAGGGCGCTGTGAAAACCAGCAATGATCATTTCTACTCGCTTAAACTCTGCTCGTGTGTCACCGTGTTGCTGAACAGGTCCAGAGCTGACCCACCGGCAGGCTTTCGGAGGCAGTAAACCACACAGGAGGAGACCGCCCCTCTTTCTCCCTCAGAGCAGCCGGTGGATTCGAACCACTTGCCTTCGGCATGGCAGCGTAGCTCCTTACCGCTAGGCCGTCAGAGGGAGTCTCAGGATCAGTATTGATTTTTCTCCTGTTCTGCAAAGTACAGATAGACATTAAGGGAAAACATTGCCCATTTCTCACCTTGGTTTTAGATGTTCCTTTACTAACATTATTTTCCATAGAAAAATGTACAAAGCAGAATGTAATGATTCTAAGATTCAACGGCAGCCTTATACTCACAGTATTGTGTTACTGTCCCCAAACAGAAGCTCAGCACCCCTTTGTCAGTGACTTTCCATTTCCTCATCCCCTTGCCCTTGACCCCAGTCTGCCTCTCTCTCTGTGCAGTTGTCTGTTCTAGAGCTTTCTCCCTACGTAGTGGGCTCATAGAACTGACTTCGTTCAGCGTGATGTGCCAGGCTTCACCGTGCCTTCACGTGTCAGGATTTCATGTCTCCGAGGCTGAAGAACAGTTCGTTGTGTACCTTGCAATTATTTGCCTATATTTTCTTTTAGCCCTAGACTTTGATATTTATCTTTTTAAAAAATTAGAGATTGTGTTGCAGATAGGGTTTCAGACCATGCTTTTTCTCTGTGACATTGTGAGCATATATATATATAAATTATCCAGCCACTACATTCTTTTAAACACATGTCGGAATTTTTTTAAATGATGCCTCAGGTGGACGGTTATGTCGAGACTGGGCCATCTTTGTCTATAAAAGTTTCAGCCGTCAACCACATGGAGGGCCTAGTTCTTGAACTTGAATCTTCTGGCAGAGTCAATTTCCTTATTAGGATTCTATCACTAGTGTAGGGAGCTCTGGTGGCCTAGTGGTAAGGCATTGCGCTGACAACCTAAAGGTACACAGTTCAAATCCACTAGCTGCTCTGCGGGAGAAAGCGTGGCCAATCAGCTCCCGTGTGATTAACTGCCTCTGAAACCTGCTGGAGGGTCAGCTACTGTCGGTTCCAACTTGACAGTAAACAACAATTACTAGTGTAACTTGTGGCTGCCCGGCATAGGGCCTCACTGACGTGGACCCTGGGGTTCCCAGATGGCTGGCTTCAGATGTGGGGGACTGGGGACACTCCCCATAACCCTGAGAGCCCTGCTGTCCCTATTTTCACAGCTGTTAACCACATGATGGGTCCTCCTTTGTCCCTTAGCTAAAACTCCTCCACACCCAGGGTCAGCCACAGCCCTGAGGACAGCCCCAAAGAGATGACACCCCTATTCTGTGGCCATTCACCCCATGTCACAAGTGAAGAAATGGAGCAGTCAGTGACCATGTGGCTCCTTCAGGTCATTCAGCTGCAGGCCATCAGCACCTCGGACACTCACGTCCTCCCGGGCACCTGATCGGGAGGGCTTGGCCCTGGGCACCTCTGCCCACACAGGCCATCAGCACCTCGGACACTCATGTCCTCCCGGGCACCTGATCAGGAGGGCTTGGCCCTGGGCACCTCTGCCCACCACAGGCCTCTGCTCCCTTGCAGTCCCGAGTGTGGACACAGGTGCCATCAGGTTGGGCGGGCCTGCAGCAATGCCAGTGTCCCTCGGCGGCCTCCTGGGGCTCCATGTGTTGGACACGGCGCTTGCCCTTCATGCTGACAGAGTTCGTTTTGCTGACGTGGGTTCTGGGGTGAGGTGGGGGCTCACCTTGTCCCCCTCTCCCCACAGGATCGCTATGGCTCCTGATGCTGGTCCTGGCACCCTGGACGGCTTCCTCCCTCAGCGGCCACTGCAGCCCGCGGCCACGACCTCTGCCCGCAGGCTGGCTTCCACATAGAGTATATATACGTATATCTGTTTCCAGTTTTTCATATTTCTCGGAGAAATTCTCACTTTGATGTCATAAATGCTCTGTGCGGCCCTTCTCCCTCCTTGGGCGCGTCTCAGCATTCCTCCCTTTGCTTTTTGGGAACCCTTAGTTCCAACAGGAGCTGGGGGCCCCAGTGAAGACTGTGCCCCCCCGTTCAGGACCCACAGCCAAGGCTTGGGGCTCAGCAGTGACCCACACCAAGAGAGCCCCCACTCGCAGGCAGGCGTGTCCTCCCAAAGGGGCAGAAGCCTGAAAAACACCAGATGGGACCAGCGTTTAGTCCAACACGTCACTCCCCTTGTACATTCACCTGCTAAGGTGACATGATGACGCTTCAGGCCCTCACCCCTCTGCAGGTGGTTTCTGTGATCCGGACAATGTAGTATGTTTTTCAGTGAAGGCTGTTAACACAGTGAAGTTCTCACATTGCCCGGGAGTCCATCCTGCCTGCTGGCAAGGTGACGCTGCTTGAATTGAGGAGCTGGGTGAGGAGAGGGGGTGGGCAGGGCTCCCAGCTCTCGTAGACCCAGCCGGTGTCACTGGGATTCAGGTGCGGAGGGGAGACCACCCACCACAGGCGGCCTGTCCCTGGAGGGAGGGTGTCCTTGGCATTGGGGAGTTTTGCTAATATTTTTTATCTTAATCTTAGTTTAAAAAAAATTACAGAATGTGTATAATGAATAAAGAATAATTTTGGCTGTGTTTTAGACAGCATAGAGTATATTGTTCAGCAGAGTAAAACCTATTTGAAATCTAACGAATCAGAACTGTGATTCAACTGGACATTTTGTGAATCTTTCATAAATGCTCTAATTTGTAGACTTTAAAATAGAATAAAAACTTGCAGCAGCTTGTGTGGTCTGTTTTCCATGTGAAGCTTCTGGAATTCGGCCCCACACGGAGCACAGGGAGCTGGAGTAGCAGGAAGCTGGCTTCGGGGAGGTGGGGGTTCAGGTCAACCTAAATGCCCAACTTCTCCACATGCTGTGGCCTCCATCACCTCTGACCCCTGCTGCTCCTCCTCTCCTCAGCAGCCTCACCCCAGCACCCCCTCCACCCCACCTTTGCATCTCACAGACCCCTGCAGGGATACCCCCCCCCCCCCGAAAATGGTTCAGTGACAGCTTGGAGCAGGGACTGAATCAGGTCAGACAGTAGGTGAGCTCAAGCCTCAGGGGTCAGACTGAGCTGAACGAGATGCAGAATCCAGAGGAGAAAGGGTGACCTTGCAGGGCTTTCCTCCCGCGGTCACCTGACAAGGAGCCCTCTCGGTACAGCCCCCCTAATCCTGCTTAGGAAAGTGGAGGGTTAAAGAGAGGAGGATTCTGAGCCAGGTGGATTGACACAGTGACCGCTGCAAAGCGTGTCAGGAGGTGTGAAGACGGCACAGGACGGGACGGGTTTCAGATCTGTTCCTAGGATCGCTAGGGGTTGTACTCAAGGGCATCCATCTAACAACAGTCTTGCCTCACACAACAGGTAACACCCTCCCCAGGGGGGATGAGATGGCAGGGACAGAGGACAGTACCCCTAGAAAGGCCATGTCGAACAATTGAACACTTTAGCCCAAGGTGTCCCACCCACGGCCCTCCGCCCTCCGCCCTCTGCCCTCAGCCCTCTGCACGCACAGCCTTTGCACCCCAGCCAGGACGTCATGGCAGCCTCCGGCTTCTCACCAGCCAGGGCTGAGCACACCTGGACAAAGGCCACCACCCAGGCCGCTGGCCTCCTCCTCCTCCTCCACCAGCACCTGCTCACCCACCATCCTCCGGCTCAATCTTTACATGTTAGAAACCTCACATATCAGTGCTCCCTCACAGCCAGGGCCCCCTTTGAATGTACCCACTGCCAGCCTGTCCCTGAGCCCATGCCCATTGTCCCCTCGCCACCCCTGGAAAGCAGCCAGTCACTGGGGTTGGGGCGCTGGCTGTGTCCACCTCAGAGCACTTGGGCCCTGCAGCGGCTTGGAGCCTTGGGACCCTTCCTCGGCCTCTGGACAGTCCCCTCGCTCCCCTGGCTGGTCCCCCCGTGGCATGCTGGACCATGCCAGTTCATGCCCTCTCAAGGTCCTGCTCCTGTTCCCTCGGCCGGGTGACCACGCTTCCTCACCACTTCATGGTTTTGTCACATGTCACCTCCCAATGACTATCTGAGATGTTTCCTGCGTTGGGGCCACACAGTGTTTGTCCCTCTGTCTCTGTCTGACTCAGCACCATGCTTCCAGCATGTACCCATTGCCCGTGTTAACACTGGAGCCCCCTCGCCCGGCACCAGCACCCCCGGGCCGCCCTCTGTCTCCCTTTGCCCCCACATGACCCGTCACTGACGCATGGTGTCGCTCACCCCATTGAACACGGCTGCATGAGGATGGTTTGTGTTCCTCATGTCAAAGGATCAGAGCTGGACATGACACACACAACCGAGGCACGAACCCAGTTGTTTCTGACTCGTATGACCCTGGAGGACAGAGCCAAACTACAAGCTTTAGGCTGTGAGTCTTTGCAAGAGTAGACGGCCACCTCTCTCCCCAAGGAGTGCCTGGTGGGTTCAGAATGCTGGCCTTTAGTTACCAGCTGAGTACTTAATCCACCACATCACCAGGGCTGCTTCTCCCGGGCACATGGTGGGGTCTTTAACCACAAAGTTTTTCTCCTTATGATAAAGCATGTAACGTAAAAATTTGACCACATTCAAGTATCCAAAACAGCAGCTACAGAATATCAAACACCACAGCCTTCAATGTGAACTGCATCTCAACGTCAAGAAAACAAAAATTCTCACCACTGCATTGATAGGCAGCATCAAGATAGATGGAGAAAGGATTGAAACTGTCCATGATTTCATCTTTCTTGGATCCGCAGTCAGGAGATCAGGAGACACACTGGGAAAGTCTGCTGTCAAGGACCTCTCCAAATTCCCGAGGAACCAAGTTGAGAACTCAAGTGAGCCTGATTCAGGCCATGGTCTTTTCAGTCACTTGCTATGCATCTGATAGCTAGAAAATAAATAAGGATGATACAAGAAACATTGATGCTTTTGAGCTGTGGTGTTGGAGAAGAGCACTGAACATCCCATGAATGGCCTAAAGAACAGATCCGCCCTGGAGAAGGTGCAGCCAGAGTGCTCCTCGGAGGCAAGGATGGTGAAGCTTCATCTCACACGCTTCCGGCATGTTGCTAGGAGAAGCTAATCCTTGGAGAGGGACATCATGTTTGGAAAGGTGGGAGGTAGAGAGGAAGACCCTCCACCAGGTGGGGTGACACAGTGACTGCTGCAGTGGGCTCAAGTATGTCAGAGGTTGTGAGGTTGACACAGGATAGGATGGGCTCCAGATCTGCTGTTCATAGAGTCGCTGTGGGTCATGCTCAACTCAGGGGCACCTAACAACAAGGGTTTAAGTTGGCAGGGAAATTAAGCATTTATCAAGCAGAAAGAGCTGAAGTAAATCCAAGCCTTGAGTTGCAATACTGAGGGACTCTATGTTCAAAATCCTGCATGAAGTTAAGTTCTGTCCAGTCAACTATGGCTCATGGTGACCCTGTAAACAGTGGCTCCGGACCCAGCCCGGTCCTTAGCCATCCTCATCTTCTCTGACATCCTGGGCCCTCCTGCACTGACACTTCACCTTCCCGACTATGATGTCTTTTTCCTAAGACTGGTCCTTCCTAACAACAACATGAAGTCTCACTATCCCTGCCTCCAAGGAGCATGTTGGCTGCAGTCATTGTTGGTGGTGTTGTTGTGTACTGTTGACTCAGAACCAACCCATAACTGACCCTCCAGCAGGTTTTCCCTCCGGCGGGTTTTCCGAGACAGTTGATTGTGCAGGAGGAGACTAATCCTTCTCCCACAGAGCAGCTGGTGGATTAGAACCACGTGCCTTTGGGATTGCAGCGCAGCTTCTTACCACTTAGGCCACCAGAGTTTCCTTTAGGCTGCGTCTATGTGGCTGTTATTGTTACATGCCATCGAGTTGCCTGTGACTCATAGCGACCCTATGTACAATAGCCCTAAACCCTGTTCTGTCCTGTGCCAACCTTATTGTCTCTGATATACCTAGTCCCATTACCCCAGTCACTGAATCCATCTCATCGAGGGTCTCTCCTGCACTGTCCCTCCATCCTCCCCAAGCATAATGATGTCTCCAAGGACAGATCACTCCTTGCAACATGTCCAAAGTGTGTCAGATGAAGCTTCAGAATCCTTGCCTCCAAGGAGCAGCCTGGCTTCACCTTCTCCAGGATGAACTTGTTTGTTCTCCTAGCAGTTCATGGTATATTTAACACTTTTCTCCAGCACCACAGCTCAAAAGGCATCAATTCTCCTTCTATCATAGCTAGTCATTGTCCAGCTTTCTGATGCATGGCAAGTGATTGCAAAGATTATGGCCTGGATCAGGTGCACCTTAGTATCCAGACTGACATCATTGCTCTTCAGTACTTTGGAGAGGTCTCTGAGAGCAGACATTCCCAGTTCAATTTCTCTTTTAGTTACCTGCTTGCTGGCACCAAGATTGTAGAGCCAAGCAAACTGAAGCTGTTGGCAATCTCAGTCTCTTCACCATCCATCTAGATACTGCCAATGGGCCCAGTGGTGAGAATCTTTGTTTTCATGATGTTGAACTTCACTCCATATTGAAGGCTGTAGACCTTGACCTTCTGCAGCAAGCAGTTCAGGTCCTCCTCACTTTCAGCAAGAAGGATTGTGTCATCTGCATAATGCAGATTGCTGATGAGTCTACCTTCAATCCTGATGCGACATTTTTCCTCATAGAGCCCAGCCTCCCAGGTAATCTGTTCCGCATATAGATTGAAAAGGTATGGAGATAAGACACATCCTTGATGTATACCCTTCCCAATTTTGAACCATAAAGTAT